TTAAACTCCAAGGTCTTCTAAGTTGATTAATTTTCTCTTTTAGGAAAATGAATGAGTGAGCATGGCTGGATATGTCTTCTTCCTCGTCATCCCACTCATTCGAGCTCAGCATTATATTTCTTGCTTCCGAGAAACATTGAGACGACCTTGTGACTACTTCCCTAAAGGTTCCAACAATCTTTGGACAATCCACCACTTTCTCACTTTCATTGTTGTATACGATCATATCTTCTTCAACCCCCTCCCCTTCCATACTGCCTGCCAGCACCTCTGAGGGGGTAACATTGTCTAATTTGACAATCGATCTTTGGACCAGATCCTCTTCTTGTATGGACATGACTTCCATATCGGATGATTGACTCATTGTGGCAGAATGGAATGGAAAAATGGACGTGACGGTTATAGAATAATCAGAGAACAACTAGAACCAAGCTCTAACTAACACAAAATGTTGCATAGAGCAAGCTCCTCTTGCTCTCACCTAGAAGGATGCTCCCAATGCCCCTAACACCTGAGTGCTAGAGTTGATCCCTGATGGCTTATGCTTCTACAGAGAGAAGAGAGAAAAAACAAAAAAGGTTGATGTACTTTTCGTTAGTTACTTTATTACTTCTATTAACATATTTCCTCCATTTTTTTAATTGACACGTTTTGATTTTAGCACTATTCACACACTTTTCTTTGATCGTGTTTTGTGATTTATACGTAATGAAAAATATAGTCATGTGCGATCTTGTTAGATTCGTCACGATATATATTTTTAAAATTTATATTTATTTAATTTTTTGCTTATCGGTAATCAAAGTTATTAATGGTTGAATTTATGCATTGAAAAACGTGACTAAATAAACGTGTCAAGAAACAGAAAAAGTATTAAAAAAATTTAGTAAGTACATGCAGTAATATTTAAGAGTTTTTGATACTTTTTAGATGGTGATATAGTAAGGGTGTTAAGAAATTGGTCTGAACCAGGAAAATGGACTGTATCGAATTGACTTCAAATCAAACCAGATTATCTGATCCGATTTCCAATTTGAGAAATTAATATTTCCAGTCTTTAGTTTACTTCGATCCAAAACCTTTTAAAACCTGATTTTGGACCGAACCGATTTTTTGCATAAAATTATACATAAAATATTTAAAAATGAATAATACTTCGTATTATCCTTAATAAGTTAGAGAAACTTTAACTTTATGAGGTTTTTCGGATTTGAATTACAACAAAAACATTAAAAACTTGCTTTCAATATTTCTTTTTCAAGTTTTTCAAAATAATTTTTTTTTTTTTTAAATTTCAAAAATATCTAAAATCAGTCCAAAACTCAGCTGGTCCAGAATTTGGATGGATTATTTCGATCCGGTTCCAATCCTAGCTTAATCGGTCCAGTCTTTAGTTCTAAAAATATAATTATCCAGTTTTTAATCTGGGTCCGGTCCGGTCTTAGACCAGTACACCTTAGATATAAGCACAATCAGTTTCAAAAAAAAAAAAATATATATATATATATATATAGTACAACCAAATTTTCTTTGGACTTGCAAAGTCATGAAATCCTTACCTCATTCGATATATTTTAATCTGCACAAGAAAGATTTCAATTAATAACTTAAATTGTCTACATGTCAATGCATAATAATGTGAACCATTACGGAGTACCACATAAAATCGAACAATTAAAGAGTTTAGAACAGTACTATTACGATTGAAAAGAATAGACAGAAACTGGGAATGCTTTGATCTAGAAGAATCAATAGAATGATCGATCAAATAAGCACATGATGCTGATATACCTCATTCGAAATATTTTAATCTGCACAAGCAAGATTTCAATTAATAACTTATTGTCTACATTGTCAATGCATAATAATGTGAACCATTACGGAGTACCACATAAAATCGAACAATTAAAGAGTTTAGAACAGTACTATTACAATTAAAAAGAATAGACAGAAACTGGGAATGCTTTGATCTAGAAGGATCAATAGAATGATCGATCAAATAAGCACATGATGCTGATATACCGTGCATAAGAAAGGGTCTTTATTTCATGAAAGAGTGCAATTCACATCAAAAGTGTTAATCCATTTAAGAACTTTTAATCTCTAATAAAGAAAAGTGATTTATTAAAGAAAATGGTAAAAAAGGAATTAATAATTAAATAGAAATAACAGAGTAGCGTGACATCCCACCAATATTAAAAAAGCAAGCAGTGAAAAAGGGTCATTTTGTATGTTTGTTTCCCCTGACTTTTGACAAAGTGTTTACTTTATATCCAACCAGATTCCCCCACCATTAAACTTCAATGTATTCCCACCTAAATAAAAATATATAAAAAAAAAATAAAAAAAATATACACATTTTTTTTTTTTTTTTTTCCTCCAAAAGGATATGGTTGTATGTAATCATCACTGTCATACTCTTGAATCTTGATCTATTTAATATGGTAAATATGGAGTATTAACAGCTAAGTAAACTGTGAAAATGGATTTTAGTAATATTCTTTCAATTTACTTCTTTCATGAACAAATTCTTTTTTATGTTCTTGTTTGTAATATTTCAAAAATATCTTCTAAATCATTTTAACACGTATCCATTTAAATTGACACGATAATGGATTATATGGAGATGAAATAATATAAAACTTGTTACTCCTTTCGTCTCATATTATAGTTCTTGTTTTCCTATTTTGGAGGTTCGAAAAATTGTTCTTGTTTCTATTTTTGGCTAATATGTAAAGACCATTATACCCTTATTTTTTCTAATTTTATTTATTGTACTTCCTAAATTACCTTTGAATATTCCACCTGATTTGTACTTTTTCCACTTTCTCTCTCTAACTTTTATCTATAATGGTACTTTTCACTTTTTTTATTTTTTAATGTAATTCATTTACTTTCTCCTCTCTAACTTTTGTCTATAATTGTACTTTTTACTTTTTTTTAATGTATTTTATTCACTTTCTCCTCCCATTTCTTAAATACCGTGAAAAAACACAAACAACAACTATATTATGGGACGGAGGAAGTATAATTTATGTTTTATTTTTCAAATGTGGGTAGTTGATTTTAATATAGGATTAACCCCCCCCCCCTTTTTTTGGGGTTTGTTGAATTAATTTAGTTATTAAATGGTTTCAAGGAATAACACGGTTGTAATTTCTTTTTATTTTTTTATTTTTTAAGGACAATAGTGGAAGTTAGAGAAAAAAAAAATTGGTTTTTTTTAATTTTAAAAAAAATAAATTAAAAAAAGTGCATGAAATTTAAGGATTGTGTTAATAAGGATTGTAGTTTTGGAAAATTATGGTGAATAGTTGTAAAAATGACGCCTAAATTATTATTATTATACATTATATAAGAAAATAACACATTCATGTAGAGTTTTATTTGAATTGTCTTAATGAATGGTATAAGAACACTATATTTTAGTAATTATCACAAATATGTAATTTTGAGATATTAATGATCACAAATTGACATTCACCAATGTGCACAATCAAAACAAGAAGTAACAAAAATATTTATTTATTAAATATTTTGTCATGACGATGAAATTGAATTCAAACGAATATGATTATAAGAATTGGGTAAAGTCTTATTATTTTATTATCTTTTGATACTTTTATACTTAACTCAAATATATCCAACTTGGATTGGTGTTTATTTTGTCTTAATTTTTCGTTAGTGCTTCTGTTATTTGCTATATGATATTCAAAGTAATAACTTAGTGTCTTAGTGCATCATTAGGGTCACCCACTAATTTAATTTATACTTATAAGGTTAGTAAGGAAAGTTCAAAGAAGAAAGAAAAAAAGTGGCCAGATTTATTCTACAATTCTTAGTGAAAAGACTTATACTCAATCTCATTTATTAAAAATATTTGTATCATTTGCCTTTTTATGGCATCTATTCCACTCCTTTCATGACTAATCACTTATTCAACCATTTAATTTTTTTTTTAAAAAAATATATATTATAGTATAAATTCTTTAAAAGCACAATCTAACATTACTTTAAAAATATATTTCTAATTTTACAAATTATGATACCTGAAAAAAAAAAATGGAAGTGAAGTATTTCAAAACTACTTAACTAGGTATGATGTACGACAACCAATTTTTTTTTTCTGTCTGCTGGTCTCCACTTATCCACCTTAAAATTGGGAGCTCAGTCATGAATCCATAGTTTCATACTCCTTTTCTTAATTATTTTTAAATTTTTTTAAAAATAATTACTACCTCCGTTCTTTTTTTATTACATCATTGGGGTTTTTGAGGCAAAATTTGGTAGTGGGAAAAAGTAAGAGAGAGAAACGTAAAAGTATAAAATTGTCCATATAATGTAAAGATAAAATAAAAAGTAAGTGTGAAAAAGTTAGGGTATGTTGGGTATTTACAGTGTGAACATAGATATTTTTTGTCCTAAAATAAAAGTGATGTAATATTTGTAAAACTTATATAAAAGACAAGTGATGCGATATTAAAATAACGAAGGGAGTATATTTCTTACAGATTAAAGTACTTCCAAGAAAATTAGTTTTGTACATAAAATAATATATCTACAAGAGTTGGTATGCGTATGAGGGTGATTGGGCTTATGTCATGAAGACGACCAATAATGGAGTAAAGTGTATCTTTCCTTGCCAAAAGGAAGAACACTAGTAAATTACATGTATGGTACTCAATTTTAAGCAATATAAGCAATAATAAGTGTGATTGTGTTTTAACGGTACATAGTGGATTGGAAATTTGGGGAAAAAACCTAAATAATTTTTAAAGCAACCATTATATATAAGTTTAAGAATTGTGTTAGAGTTCAGCGCACGTTTAATAGAGTAAAAGATATTATCAAACGTAGCTCATCAATATTCTTCTTAATTTTGCACTAGACTTGTTCTTAATTTCTTCGTCATGCAACACTTTTCATTAATTACGAAATACGAAGAATAAAGATTTGGACATCCAAAAATCGTGAAGTAGCATCAATAGTTCAATAGAATAGAACATGTTTATTACTAAATACCATTGAAGAAACCAAAATTCCAAAAACACCTAATATAAAAGAGAGGAAGAACCCAAATATAGATAATTCCTACTGCAATTATTCAACTTATACCTGCACAATTAGACAGCCTAATTACAGGCCTAATTCAATGGGTTCCTGAATTTCCAAGAAATGTTTGAGCAAGCGAAAATATAAATATAAAAACACAATAAAAGACATAAAAAATTGATACTTGTAAATTGTAATATAGTATTTCCATTAAAGATTAATATGGATAAGGACCTGTCAACCCACCCTTCTCAATCTTAACAGCTAATATTACCCATTTATTAAAAATTGTACACCCCTAAAACTTTGCATGCCTCCAAACAAGAGGTTGAAGAACATTGATACATCCAAATTAAAATAACCTTCATTATTTCTCTATCTTTCCTTTTCAAAAATAATAAAAAAAAAAAAGTTCATAAATTTTCATGCAAAATTTGTTCACTCAATCCATTATTTAGTTTGATAAATCAAAGTATAATTGTTAAAAATTAAATACCAAAAAAAGAAAAAAAAATCTTTTAAAATCACCTAAAATAGTACTGCATGATTGGCAATAATATCCTTATCCAACTATTATAAGCTCCTAAACAAAGGCAACAATTTTCCCACACTTTAATTTTCAAACCAAAAAAACACCTCTCAAAACCCCTAACAAACACCCCAAAAAAACCCAATGGAAGATGGTGACATCCCACCACATTGGCAACCAACAGCCACCTTAACACGGCGGAACCGACATCGATCATCGTCTCCGATATTAAACTCATCTCTACTCATCATTCTCCTACCATCGATCGCCCTCCTCTTCACTGTCTTCATAATTATCCCTAGCATACACAAAATTCTACCAATAACAAACAGCACCAATACTCAAAATCAAAAGGCTATATCAGTCAAGAAGAGTTGGGACTTCCTCAACATAACCCTCGTCCTCTTTGCTATCTTGTGCAGCATTTTCGCCAAACGAAACGATGATTCGTCAGTCGCAACAACAGAACGTGATGAAAAAGTCCAACAACATCCCACACAAACCAGTAGTACTGGTAGTAGTAGTACTAGTACAACTGGTTCACTCCGAAGGAGTAAAACAATGATGCACAACTACAATCAATCATCATCAAGCGTACCACAATGGTTCGAGTACTCGCAGCAGCAGAGGATCACTACCTCTCCTACAAACACTCCTCAACCGGGTACCGGTACCTCCCGGTTACGCCGGACAGTTAGCTCTGATCCATACATGAAGTATAACAACAATAACACTATCAATCATAATACCGGGAACAGCCAGTTCCGGTTTTTCGACGATCTCGACATCAGTAGATTTTATCCAAAAGATGAAGAGTATAAACCTCCTGAGACTACAACGCCACCGGTGGAACTCGAAAAAACTCCGGTAAAGGATATCGAAGTTGATACATCTGAACAACAAAACAGCGGAAAATTACAATCACCGACATTTTCTCCGCCGCAAAATCCGCCGCGGAATCCTCCAGCCCCGTCACCTCCTCCACCTCCGCCGCCGCCTCCGGCAAAGCAGAGGCGAAAATTCCAGACAATTCCTCGAAGAGAGCAAGTTCCGCCATCTCCGCCACCACCTCCTCCGCCGCCGCCTCTGCCACGTGGACGGGAGGAGAAGAGGAGAAGTTCGCGAAAGCGAATGAACGCAACGAAGGAGATCGCAACGGCAATTGTGCATCTCTACAGTGAACGCAAGCGAAAACGACGACAAAGATCGCAGAAATCAAGCAGAAATTTCGAAGATTCATCGGAAAATCGATCACAATTCTTTCCCCCGCCGTCGCCGCCGCCTTCTCCGCCGCCATTACCGCCGCATCCGTCATCTGCTCTCAAAAGCTGGTTCAAAAAAGGGAGCAAAACAAAGAAGATTCACTCGTTTTCCTCCATACCTAAACCTCCACCACCGCCGACACGGCAAAAACTGGTGAACTCCGCCGGGAAACCGCCATTACCAGTGACGAGAGAGACCAGAATACCGTATAAGGCACGGCGGGAGATCGACGGTCGAGATGAAGCGATGAGTGAGATAAACGGTGAAGATGGAGAGAGAGCGAGTTCGGTGACGTGTCCGAGTCCAGATTTGAATGTGAAGGCTGACTCGTTCATTGCAAGGCATCATGATGGGTGGAGGCTTGAGAAGCTTAATTCTTGGAGAGAGAAACTCAACAAGGCTGGTAATGGGCCCACTTTTTAAGGGCCCACTTTTATTTTTTGCCCCAATATTAATCCCACGCTTCACGCTCACTTGTCACTACTACTATTTCTCCACCAACTTGGTGCTTAATTATTTCTATTGCTATTATTAGGTGGAAACTAAAAAGGGTGTGTTACATATGGTATGGATTTGGATTTGGATTGTTGAATTATTAGTTAGTATATAAGGTTGAAGTTAGGGTCTAATTTTGGCCGGTTTTATTGTACCCGAAATTAGAGTCTTGATGTCCATAAAAGGTTTTATATATTGTAGTTTACTGTAAGATAGAATTGATCATGGGTGAGGTCGACTTATGATTTAAATGTATTATATATCTAGGTTGAATCAAGATGGGATTCGACTTGATGAGCTATATATTTCACGGATATCTGTGAAAGGTTATAGAATGCAAGGCAATAACAAGAAGGGTGATATGAGGTCATTTTCTCACTTTTTTTTGGTGGGGAAAAGGGAATTGCAATTTGCATTTGGTTAATGGAGATATAATTTTTTGAAAAGAGCTCCACTTTTTAGGAAGAGATACCATGAAAGGGCATCTTCCAATTTGTTTGGATTTGTTTTTACTATTGTAATTACCTATCTCATCATTTTTATTTACTCTTTTTTAGTGAATAGAAAAAAAAAAACCATGTTGGCCAATATTGTGTTTAGAACATGAGTGGGTATAGTTTCATCGAGTATGGTTGAGGGGACCCTCTTGGTGTCGTTTGAAAGAGCAATATGCTCTCTTAAGTGCACTTCTTCTTTAGCTTGAGGAAGTTGATGTTAATTCCAACACAGTTACCTTTTTTTCTTAAAATATAACATAATTTAACTGAAGTATTCCTCACTGTAGACACCTACTTTTGGCCTCCTTTCCGACGGAAAGTGCGATGATGTTACAAACACCCGTTCTTCATGCTAGATTAAAGCTGAAGTGTTTATGGACTCTGAAATGCATTATGAAGTAAGTTTAAACCCGTATTTGAGACCAAATTACCTTAGAGCCTAGTCCGATTACTAATTAGGCCTAAAACATACTCATACATGTTTAATCTTCATCAATAAGGACCCAAATGCGTTAAAAGCAATGATTGGATCAAATGGATCTTACATTGTTGAAAACCGAGCCAATCATAACAATTAAGTACCTAATATCTGTTCATGGCCTATAATGTTGGATATACCTTTCAAAGAGCTGTCTAAAGGTATATTATAAGCCCAATTCCGAGTTAAAACGAAGAAGTTATCATCAAAATACTAAACCGGGCCCTAAAATCGACACTCATGCACTCAAACGGCCATATCATTTTATCCATAACAGATTTTAACCTAAATTTAACGGAATTGGAATTTAGACATTCATAGCTTTCCAATGATATCTTATTTGTCTTAATCCGGCTTCGTAATCAAAAGTTATGGGAAGTTTTAAAAACGCGTTTTTGTATAAGGCAAACCGTGCATGTTGCGCGCGACAGTCGCGCACAAGTCTTAAAGTTGCGCTAGGAACTCCACCGCAACTCTTTTAGTTGCGCACGCCCGCTGACGCCACGGTTCTAAAACCCTAAACCCAGATTCCTATGCCTATAAATAGGGACCTAATGACAACAGAAAAATCAGAAATCAAACCCTAAAGTTCTGAAAACCCTAATCTCTCACATTCTCTTACTATCATACTACTTTTCTCCTTTCTTCCCAAATACTCTTCAATCCTAATCCATCCATTTGAAGTCCTTGGAGGTACGAAAAAAGAGGGAAGTCCATAGATGCATAAACGGAGATTTAGCATACAAAGAAGAACGGCTAGTTTCCTGAGCACTTAGATCAATCACCTTTTATTTTCTTTTTGTTTTAAATAACTTTAATCAATTAATTAGTGTTGTTTGATCACTTTAAATAAACTCTAATTAATTAATTCACATAGTATTTTTTCGTTAATTAAAGAATAATTAATTGTTGTATTATCACTTAATTAAGTCAAGGCGAATCTTGTTTTGTTTCTTGTTCCTTTCACGAATTTGAATTAAAAAAAGAATAACGACATTCGTTGCAATAATGTAGAATTTTTTTGATTAATGTTTGTAAATAAACCCAACTAACTTAATTTTTAGGAATCGCGTTGCATATATTATTTGGTAATGAAATTGTGAAAAAGGAAGAGATAGTAGAGGCCACACTAGGGCTAGGATTGTAATTCTCAAAGAGAACGTTGTTCTAGTACATTCGCTCTCGAACTCATTTCTGGTTTAGTAGACCAATTTAGCCATGGGTAAACTTATGATTCATGTTAAATATCCCTTGAACTCTACTTGGGAGAAAGGCGTGAACGAGGTTTACGAGTTTTCCTAAAACTCATTGGCTACTATCTATTAGTTACTTATAAAAAAAAGTAATGACGGACTCCCCAGCGACGGGCTATCCTCCTCACAGTGGCGACTCCAATGGGGACTTAGAGGTTACATGATTAGCGTTTGGTTATGGTTCAAGGTTTCTCAATAGGTCACCTATGAGTTGTAATGGAAGGCTAACTTGGATAATCTCTAGCTATAGAACGAGACTCAAACGCGTAATATCTTCCTTTTTCACAAAAGTGAAAACCAAATAAGCAAAACTGCATCATGCATAATCATAGCACACTTTAACCATTGGGGATTGGCTTATTGGCTAGGGGTCGCCAACACTAGGCTTCTATCCCAAAACCAATAACAATCATCCCACCCATATCGCCAACAAAATGTTGGGAGAATCATCCCATGGGTCAACATGTTGAGTGATTGATTCGTGCATCATACTTAAGATATGGTACCTTTGGACACCCAAGCCTTAACCGTTGACCTTAGAATGACATTATATGCTTTAAAGGTTTTATTCCTCATGTTTATGTGCTTATATGCTTCTTGTCTAGTTTAATAAACTCCAACTTGTTACCTAGAGATATTTCAAAATTCACAAAAAAAAAAAAAAAAAAAATGGTTCGGCCAAAAAAAAAATAAAGAAAAAAATCTTCATTTCGATTTAAAAATAATTTCAAAAAAAATTCTGCATATCGATTTATTAAAAAAAATGAAAAAAAAAATCTAAATGTCGAACCTGCCAGGTAGCGCGCGCAACTATCAAAGTTGAGCCCCCTCCAAGCGCAAGTATTGAAGTTGCGCGCGGCTTTACCGTGCTACTCTGATTCTTGCGCGCGCCCACTGTTCAATGTTGACTTTGACTCGTTGCAAGCAATGTTATACGAAGAGAACGATAATACCGGTTTAAGATTAATCGTTAAGTAGGTGCTAATAATATCTCTTTGGCTAACAATGTTGTCTAACGTAGTTTCTTTTACTTTGTTCGGCTTTTCTTTTTTAAAAAAAAAATCCAAAAACATGTTTTTTTTACCCGTTCCCTTATTTTGTTTTCCAAAAAAAAAAAAAAAACCTGAATGTGGCAAATGCAACTCTCAAATTGCACTCTCCACCTTTGCGCAAGACGGAAAATTATGCGCGATATTATTTTCGATTATGATGACTCGTTTACGTACTTTTTAATATAACTAATGACATTACCTCTAATACGACTCGTCATTAAAAGTTTGCATCCCCTAATAGGACGTCATCAATATTTCTATTCCTAAACGTGCCTATTTTCATGATCATCATCTTCTAGTTGTAATTAATTAACCTTTATCTATGAGTATAATTTATTCAACTCCTCTATGGTTTAAAAAGAAAATTCTAAGAACCTTACTTGGGATAATTGCCTCAAAAAAAAAAATATAGAGAAATCACTATAAAAAAATAAAAAAAATAAAAGTGATACAAAGAGGGAAACTCGAAAAAAAAAAAATATTATTCTCAACAAAAAAAAAAGACAGAATAATGAATAGTAAATCTGAGAAAATATTTTAATTATTTCTTGGATTTTACATTCAGAGGCAACTATTCTTTTTTTTTTTTTTTGAAGCAAAGGCAACTATTCTTTTTAAACAAATAGTAATTGTTCTTTAAAGATGAGCAATATGAGAATCTTAAAGAAAAAAAAAAAAAGAAGAAGATCTCTATTGTAATTTGAATAATCAACAAATACCATATTCTAGTATATTGATCATTTTAAGGAGTGTATTAAGGTTGATTAATTATTCTAAAAAATTTGATTTTTCAATCCAACTTTCCTTTTCTTTCTCTTCTACCTTTTTCAAAAACAGTTCACCTAAAATAAAATCCTTAGATGATTACCTTGTTGAAGTCAACATAAATCATAACATTCCATTAATGATTGTTCGTGAATTTGTTGACATTCTTCATCAACAAACTTGCTTAAAGTGAATTCGTATTAAAAGCATTAAAAAAAAAAACATTTTTGACTTTTGTTCATTGTTAGAATGCTTGGCAGAAAAGGTTTTAATTAAGTGAACGCGCTCAATTTCTCGTGATACACATTACTAGATCATATTCCACATTCGCATCCTAGTCCAATAATTGGTGACAAATCAACATTATTGGAGAAACTTAGAGAGGAACTCCAAGACCTAAAAGCCCTACGAGAAGAAGAAGCCCAATTGAAGGCTCATAGAAAAGCAGAAATGGCTAAAATAAAAGCAGAGAAAGAAAAAGAAAAAATCCTGAAGAAAAAAGCATGAGCCGAAAGACTAGAGCTCTTGGAGAAACTTGTCCTTCGAGCTACCTCAGGGACTAAGTTCTTCAATTATGAGCTTGCACCATAACCTAGTGGCAAGACTCTCCCAGAAAATTTCTTGACTACAGATTTACCAACATTTAAGGTTACGGACAATCCTAAGACTCACTTAATGAGCTTTCTTGGAATGATGGCATTGAAAGGGGTCAAACATAGCTTATATGCATGTACTTTCCTTCTCTCATTGTACCTAACTTGGGCATTTTTTATGTACTGGCTTTTAAGAAATGACACGTTTTATTAGTATTTTTGTCGTTACTTAACAAAATTACCACGTAACAAACGGCGTAAAATTGTATAACATACATACAACGTAAAATTGTATGGCGTACGTACGTGCGGCGTAAAATTGCACTAGCAACGTGATCTGCCTTTCGTAAAAAACGGTAGAATCTTTTTTTAGGCGTTAGCTTTCGAGTCGACAAAGCGACCATCGGGGCGATGTCTACCCCCGTTGGGCGAATATGCAAATATGGCTAGCTTGAAAATGATCTTGCTTCACTGGACTGTTAGGGTGTCCGTCCACCCCCTGTATAAAGAGCAGACTCTATTGAAGATGCACCCATTTAGACATGTGTCCCCAGTCCTGAGACGCGTGTTTTCATCATGTGGACAAAACTGATGAGAGAGTTGCCGATTTTCATCTCTCTCACTGGATTTTGATACACGCCTCCAGTCCTAAGACGTGTATTTCTATCTTGTGGACATCGAATCTTTGTTTTGGAAGCGAATGTCAATCTTTTATTCAAGTGTTAGGCTACGAATGCCAA